AGCTCTGCCATCCTAAGGAAGGGCCTAGGAATCCTGGCACCTGGGCCCTGGGAGGAATTTTATTCCTCTAGAGCTTGGAAGAGGGGGAAGCCTAGGTCTGGGGGGAGGGATCAGAGGCCTCCGGAAGCCCCAGGCTGAGGCCCCTTGGCTCCCTGGAAGATGCTCCAGGGGGCAGGGGTCTGGGCTGACTTGCTTCCTCCCAAGCCCACCTCTCACAAAGGCTGCAGGCCCGCTCTGGGACCTCCCCTCCTCCAATGGCTCTGCCCTTTGCTCCTGGCCTCTGCTAAGCCCCTACATGGCTCCAAGTCTGGCTTTCCAAACTCCATCCCTTGTCCCCTCTTAGGACACCCCTCCCCCTCTTCCCGGCCAGCCACACAACTCCCTGGAGCTCTTGCCTCCCCTGGACCACCTCCCATCCCCCTTTCAATCATTCAGCTCACACCCCTGCCCCCCTCCTTGACTCCCCTCTGCATCAATTACCCTAAATGTCCTTCTGTCTGGGCTCACCACCTCCCCTCCCCCAATCTCCCAGCAGGCTGTCCTCTCTGCCTCCCTCCCTCTCTCAAAGCCCTTGGCCTCCCAAATGGTTCCACCCTTCACAGTCTCCTTGGTTATCCATCTCCTCTGTCAGCCCCCCCCCCTTATTCTCTCCACCTAACCATTTCTCAGTTTCCTCCATTCCCCCCCCCAGCTCCTTCCCTCCCTCTCCATTCAGTCCTCCTGGGGGCCCTTCCTGAGTCCCCCCCAGCTGACCACACTGCTATTGATGCCTGGCTCTCCTTCAGTTCTCAGAATTGAATGCCTCCCCACCTTCCCAGCCCCCTCCTGATTCCCTGGGAGCCTGGCTTCCATTACATGCTTCTACCTTCAGAGAGCTGGTGTCGTGGAATGGGAAGAGCATGGAGCTCCCATCCAGACTCAGATATCTGATAGCTTTGTGGCCCTGATCAAAGAGCTTCACCCCAATGAACGTCAGTTTCCTCCTCTGTAAAACAGGCTTGTGTGAAGCCTCCCATAGTTCCTGTGGAAATCAAACTTGACCAACGTTAACCCTGCAACCAAAATCTCAGTTTACAAAAAGGATCTGGGAGCATTACATCGAGTAGCACAGCGCTTGGCACACAGTAGGTGCCTAATAAGTGATGGCTGGCTAACGTTATAGAGAGAAGTCAGATTTGGTATGGCAAATCAGAGTGGAGGGGCATTGTCAATCCCTTTCTAGCTAGGGAGGGGCCAGGTAAGAGGCTAAGAGGAAAGCCTCCTTGCGCCTTCCAGTCCAGGGGGTCCCCAAAGAGCCTTCATACGCCTGGAAGCAGGCAGCCTGATTTCTTGCTCAGCCCAGCTCTCTCCCTTTTTTCTGGTCTTTCCAATCCTGTGCATCTGGGGGTGGAGGCTTCAGTTCTACTTTCAGGGGCCTAGGAGAGGGAGGTGATAGAATTAAGGATGGGGGGTGAAGCTCGGTAGGGTGAGGAAAAAAAGATGGGACGAAGGGGATAACTTAATCATCTCGTTAGGACCTTCCCCCATCCCCAGTGGGGTGGGTGGTAGGTGAGGAGGGGGTGCTGTCCCTTTAAGAGCCTCAAGGCTGCAGGGAGCAGATGGCCTGTGCCTGGGGCCCCTTGTCCTTTGTGTGGCTCGGCACAAAGGAGGGGGCCAGCTGGGGGGGGGCTGCAGCAGGTGGGAAGGGGTGGAGTCTGCCTGCTTCCCTCCTCACCCTCTTCACCCTCCTCTTTCTCCTTCTCCTCCTCCGCCAGGCACCCCACCCCCAGAGACCTAGAGAGTCCATTCAGGGGACCACAGGGTGCTGCCCTCTCAGAGGCAATGCCCTCCCTCCCTGCACCCAGCCCATCTTCCTATGAGCCACATGCTCAGTTTCAGCTCCAACTCTCAGGGGAAGAATTTCCATCATTACGGAGGCCCAGGGGACCAGCAAAAGGCCAAGGTGTCCTCGCCTGCAAGGGACGACAAAAGGAGTGTCGGGGGGCAGGGAATGATGGAGGCCAAGGAGAAGGCGGGATCATCCAATACCCTGGGGTGGGGGTGGGGGTGGGGAGGAAAGTGGCCTCCAACCTAACCTGACACGGGGAGTAGAAAGGACTTGAGGTGGCTTGTGGCTGCCAGTGGGGTGACCAGAGTCCTAGGAAGCCCTGGAAGGGAGAGAGGGGCTGGGTCAGACTCACAGCTTCTAGCGGGAGGAGACACACACACACACACACACACACACACACACAAACACTAGACAAGAGCATCTAAGCCACCCAGACTGGGGAGAGGGGGGAGGGGTGGGGGTGGGGCAGAACCAGTTGCTCTTTTTCCTGGAGGAAGAAGCAGCTGCACTTTGCTCTGAGCCCTCCATCTGCCCCCACCTCATTCCCCCTCATCCATCTTCCCGCCCCCCACTACTCCCCTAACTCCTTCCTCCTTTCTTCTCCCTATAAGACCCTCTCTGGACCCCTAGGCTTGGCCTATTCTCTGTGCCAGAAAAGACCTGGTTATTCTCTGAATCCATCTCTGCGCTCTCTCTCTCTCTCTCTCTCTCTCTCTCTGTGCCCACGTGGTGGTGTGCGGATGTGGGATGACTGGGAGTCTGCCTGGTGGCCGGACATCAGGCTGGGCTGGGCTCTGCTCTGTGCGTCTGTGTGCTCCTTATGGCTGGGGAGTGGGAGGATAGGAGAAGGTCCTCCCACCTTCCTCCACCTCTGACCCATCTCCTCCCCCTCCACCCATCTCTGCTGTATGTCTGGGCATCTCTCAGGGTACACGCCCCTGGGCCTCCCTCACACTGGCCCAGTGTCCTGTAGCTTCCCTCCCCTCCAGCACACCCTGCTGGGCAGCTCCAAGAAGCCTGGCCACGGTAAGCAGAGGCTCCCAGGCTCCTGGGGTGGGTCCACCCTGGGAAATCCAGAGACCACAAAACCAGGCCACAGGACCCAGGGTGGGGCGGGGGCAGCCAGGGAAGGCCAGGGGCCAGCCTTTCTAAATTTAGGAAGCTGATTATAGTGTGGCCAGGGCCAAGGGAAGGAGCAGAGTCAGCAGCTGCCAAGTCTGGGTGCAGGGGGTTTGCCTGAATGTAGGTGTGTTGTGTGTCCATTTGTTCTGGGAGGACTGGGGGCAGGGAAGAGGGAGGGCCGTGACCCTGAAGCCTGACTGCCCAGCACGGGGGTTCTAAGGCTCGTCTGGGACCCCTCCAACGTCCCGGTGCCCGGGTGTCTTTGTGAGACCAATGCCTCTTCTGCATCTCTTGGGGAGGGGGGGGCAGGGAGGACAGGCTGGTCTCCTTCCCTGGCTCCAGCACGGAGAGGAGGACGTGGTGTTAGTCACACAATTACCCCCCCCCCCCCCCCCCCGGCTGGGTGCCCCCTTCCCCCAAGATCCCAGGATTCCAAGCTGCCAAGAATTCTCAGTAAGCAATGCAGATGGATTGGGTACGACCTTATGAACCTCCCACTATGGGCCAGGCCCAGGGTTTGGAACTGGAGGAGGAAGAGCCCCCCTCCCCCCACATTTTACAGACGAAGAAACCGAGGCCCAAAGAAGGTCCCAATTCACAAAAGGAGGGAAGGGAAGAGCTGGGACCCCCAAACTGGTGACCCCTTCAAATCGATCCATCCAAGCACTGTAGGCTAGGTGCTGGGACACAAACACAAATATGAAAGAGTACCTGCCCTCAGACAGCTTCCATTCTACAAGGGACAGATACATGTACACATCAGTGAGAGAATCCAGACCCAGTCCCAGGTCCTCAGGTCACTCCTCTGTTTTGCTGAAGGGGAAACTGAGGCCCAGAGGGGAGCAGTGGTTTGCCCAGGGTCGAGCGGGTTGGACGGCTGAGATGTGGAGCCAAGCCCTCGGACTTCCACGCTTTTTATTTACACCAGGATGTCCCCACCGGAAAGCACGCACCTTCTCATCCTTTCAGCTCCTCGGAGGCTGGGGGACCCACCTCCCACATGGCTCCCGAGGCCACATCTGCACCCAGAGATGTCCCAGAGAGATCACAGCTCCAGGGTGTCGGGAATCCCACCTTGGTCAGAGAGGTTCCTTTCTCCACAGTGGAAGGGGTGGAGAAATCCTTGGCAGGAAAGGGGCAAGGAGGAAAAAACGCCCACCCCGTCCCCTTCTCCTCCTCCCCCTTCCCCAGGGAGGGCTCTGGGCTGCAGTAGCACGTGTGCCCAATGCTTTGCGGGCGTCTGGCTCGCAGTGTCTGCGGGTGTGCGGCTGGCGGTGGTGGGGGGGCGCTGTGACCTCTTGGCCCCTCTTCTGCGCCCCCATCTCCCTCTGTCACAGAGAAGGCATGCCTCTTCCTCCCTCGCCCAAGACCTCCAGAGGCGGGGGCAGCTTCCCTTCCCTCAAGCAAAGTCGGGGTGCCTCAAGAGGGGAAAGGGGAGGAGAAGGAAAAGGGAAAAAGAAATGAACTGAGGCACTCCTCTCCCCCGGTCCTGACCCCACCTCCAGAGAAAGGTTGAGCCCTGGCCCCCAGGCCCCGCCCCCAAGCCCTGCCTCCCACCCCAGGGCCAGATGTTCAGCTGGCGGAGGCATCGGCTGGGGGAGGGGTGCTGAGGCCACAGCCGGCACTACTTCCCTGCCAGCAGCTTCATTGTGTGAGCGAGGGAGCGAGGGAGCGAGGGAGCCAGGGAGGGATGGAAGGAGGCGGCGGCGGCGGCGGCGGGAGCGGCGCCAGCGGCCGCCTTCTCCCCGGCTCCCTGCCCCTTTGCCCCCTTCTCTGAGCGCCGGCCCCCAGGGACACTCGCGTCCAGTCGGGTTCCCGTCTGCTGCCGCGCTGCCCCCGCCTGCCCGGGGAAAGGGAACAGTCTGGGAGGCTGGGGTCCTGCCCTGTTAAGCTGAGCGCGAGAGGCGAGCGGGCGGGCAGGCGGGCAGGCGGGCAGGCGGGCGGGCAGGTAGAAGTCCAGCCACCGGAGGAAGGAAGCAGGCGGTCCTCCAGGCGGACTGGCTGGAGCTCGGAGAGGGACGAAGCCCGGAGACTGGCTGCCTTTTGCTTCTGGCCCCGATTTACCTGGCTTTGACCCCAAGGTGGCGGGGGCTGGGTTCCCCCCACTCGGAGAGGGCAAAGAGCTGGAGGGCAGCCCCTTGACTTTCCAGGGCATCCTAGCCCCGCACTCAAAGGGGAAAGGGAAGCCGAGGAACGCCCGCTTGGGACCCAGGTAGCCTGGCTCCCCGGCTCCCTCTGGAGTCCTCCGGAAACTTTTTGCTGCCCTTCCCGGCGAGGGCACAACGCCCGGAGGGAAGGTTGCCTCGTCTGCCTCCTTCGCTCCCTCCCTCACTGGCTCGCTTGGTGGCTCCCCAGCAGACTGGGCCAGGGAAGGACTGGGGAGCCACTTCACCCACTGCTCTGCGTCCTCTTGGGGGCCTGTTCCTTCCTTCCTTCTCTCGCTGCCCCCCCCCCCCTTTCCCCCTAATCCTGGGCCCAGGGCGGGCGGGAAAAAGCAAGGATGCCGTCAGTGATGGAGAAGAGCAGCTCTGGTTCTGTGATCCTGTCCCGGAGTCGGGCCAAGACGGCGCCCAACGGAGGCCAGCCCCACTCAGAGGATGACAGCAGCGAGGAGGAACACTCCCACGGTGAGAGCCTGGGGCTGCAGGGGGTAGGGGGATTGGGGGGGGCGGGTTAAGGTTGCTGCTGCCGCCGCCCGCCGCCGTCCTGGGGGCGGGGAAAGAGGAAAGATCTGGGAGCCTTCAGAGCTGGCGGGGGTGGGGGGGTGGGGGGTGGTCTCGAGAGGGAGCTGAGGAGAGACACGTGGGCATCCGCCAACCCCCCCACCCCCCCACCCCCGACATATATAGAGCGCTTCCCACCTCCAGCCTCCAGTTCCCTCCCAGGACCCAGACATTCTGCCTCCTCTTTCCTGGCCTCCCAGCTTTCCCTAACCCAGACTAGAGGGGACAAAGCTCGGGAGCGCTGAGAAGAAGGGTAGCCTTCCCTCCCACCCCCACCTCCAGTGTCCTGGGAATTCGAGGTATGACCGGCCTAGCTGCCTTTCCCTCCAGGTCACATTGGAAGCCACCCCTTTTGCTCCCAGAGCTAGAACAAAGGGCTGAGGGGAGACCAGAGGACACCCAACAGTACTCTCCCCCTTCCATAATAACTCACATTTCTTGAACACTTTTAAGCTTTACAAAACGTTTTTCTCACTACCACCCTGTGGAGGGTGGTGTGGAGATCATTATCTCCATTTTGCAGATGAGAAAACTGAGGTTAAGAAGGTTACCATGACCTAGCCAAGGTTGCCCAGCCAGGCAGTGGCAGAGCCAGGCTCTCTTCATGAGACAAGCTTTCCGAGCAGGGCGCTCCGGAGTGAGGCTACGAGGAGGGGGTCAACCCATCCCTGCTCTCTTGATTTCTTTTCTGTCTGGGGGCTCACTACACTTCTGCTCTTGGTCCACAGACAGCATGATCCGAGTGGGGACGAATTACCAAGCGGTGATTCCTGAGTGCAAGCCTGGTAAGGAGGCAGGGGCCCCACGTGGCTGTGTTGGGATCAGGGGACAGTACTTGGCGGGGGAGCCTTGTGGTTGGTTGAAAGTCTTTCTCCGCTTTCCTTTCTGGTTCCCTGCCCTTCCTGTCCTTATTGCCTGCTGCTCTAAAGCCTAGCCAACCATCATCATCCATGTATCCCTTCCCTCCGCACACAGAGAGCCCAGCCCGGTACAGCAACAAGGAGCTGAAGGGGATGCTGGTGTGGTCACCGAATCACTGCGTATCAGACGCCAAGTGTGAGCTGGGGGCTGGGGCCCCTGGGTTTAGCCTGGGGGGGAGGGGGGGAGGACCCGAGTTGAGCCGAATTTCTGGGAATAGGATCATGGACTGCGATGCCTCAGTTCAGACCTATCCCCGGTAGGGGGTACTGGGTCCGAGGCCCATGTCTGGGGGCTGGGGCTGGAGCCTAGGACTCCGAGGTTCAGTCTCCTCCCTGGGCGGGAGGCCTGGATTTGTCCCCCATAGCCCACACAGGGTCTCGGGGCTAGGAAACCTTAGTTCAGATTCAATTCTGGGAAGGGGGCTAAAGGCCAGGGTCCTGCTTTGTTCTCTACATCTGGGGGGGAGGGGTGGTCATTGACTGGGATGTCTAGATTCAGACCCGTCTGTGGGAGGGGAGCCCGGGAGACCTAGGGTTTCATTCCTCCCATCTGGGAGTAGGGATGCCTGAGTTTGGACCCATGTCTAGGAAAAGGGTTTCAGACTGGGATGCCCCGACTTGTTCCCATCTCTGAAAAGGGGCTGGGTTGGGAGCTCCGGTGTCTCCTTACCAACGGACCTCTTCTTCTCTCATCAGTGGACAAGTACATTGCAATGGCCAAGGAGAAGCACGGTTATAACATTGAGCAGGTCAGTCTGGCCCCAGCCAGGGATAAAGGTGGGGGAGGCAGAGGAGAGCTCCATGGGAAGGAGGATGCTGCTACCAGTGGGCAGGTGACTAAGGGCCAGTCTCCCCATTTGGGATTAGGCCCTGGGCATGCTGCTGTGGCACAAGCATGATGTGGAGAAGTCTCTGGCAGACTTGGCCAACTTCACCCCTTTTCCGGATGAGTGGACCGTGGAGGACAAGGTGCTGTTTGAACAAGCCTTTGGCTTCCATGGAAAGTGCTTCCAGCGCATCCAGCAGATGGTATGCGCCCCTAGCCTGTGGGGGGGGTGGGGCAAGGCTCCCGGAAATCCTCCCTTCTTCCCCCAGAGCCCCACAAGCCAGATACACCATCCTTAGACCTCCACACCCCTCCTCGGTACCCTCCCATCCAGCCTCCTGCCAACCGCCAGCCCGTCTTTCACAGCTGCCAGACAAGCTCATCCCCAGTCTGGTTAAATACTACTATTCTTGGAAGAAGACTCGAAGCCGTACGAGTGTCATGGACCGCCAGGCCCGGAGGCTGGGTGGCCGAAAGGACAAGGATGATAGGTGGGGTCGAAAGGACAGGGAAGCGAGGTGGGGCTGGTGAGGACGGCGGCGGTGGTGAGGGCTTCCCCAGGGAGTGAGAGGGGAGGCCCTGAGAACAGGAGGGCAAGGCTGGGGAGGGTCCTGAGAGTGGGGGAAGGGAAGCTGAGGGCTTGGGGCTGGGGCTTGATACGTACCTTTGGGAGGGCTTTGACTAGGATCTCATCTGCTCCCCGGACCCTCTGCCAGCAGTGATGAGTTGGAAGAGGGAAGAGGAGCCACTAGTGAGGGAGAGCCAGATGCTGGGGACCCCAAGAGAGAGGTGAGGTCCAGCTGGGCTAGACCCCGTGGCCCCGAGCCCCCCACTCACAGCTCCACCCCCTTCCCCGATTCCCTGGCTGGCTCTTCCTTCACCTTGCTGTGCACAATTTCCCCAACAGCCGCCCCCCACCCGACCCCTGAACGCCCGGCCTGGCCCAGGGAAGAAGGAGGCTCAACTGTCCCAGTACCGCCACCACCCTCTTCGGACCCGGCGCCGCCCACCCAAGGGCATGTACCTGAGCCCTGAGGGCATCACAGCCGTCTCTGGCAGCCCCGACCTTGCCAGTCTCACCCTTCGGGGCTTGGACTCCCAGCTAGTCTCCCTCAAGCGCCAGGTTGGTTGGCAAGAAAGGACCCACCCTATCTCAAGAGGGTGAAGGTGGGAGGCTGGAAAGGGTTCAGCTGGCAGGAGACAGAATCCAAAGGAGAAGGGGAGAGGGAGCCCAAAGCGTGGGGGTTAGGAAGGCCTTTGGAGGGGACGGGAAATGGACTGGGTGCTATCCCTTGACGTAGGAAAAGGCTACTGGACCCCGCCCCCCCCAGGTTCAGATCCTGACTCTGGAAGTCACTTCTCCGTTTCTTCAACTGCAAACGACTATGATCCTGAGGTTTGGGTTTTCTTCTGTCTTTCCTGCAGGAGGCAGCTAGGTGGTGCTGTAGTGCATAGAGTCAGGAAGACCCGAGTTCAAATTCAGCCTCAGACACTTATAGCTTAACTGCAGTCTGCCTCAGTTTCGACAGTAAAACGGGGATGATAGCACCGCCTCTGATGGGCTGTTGGGAAGGCCCGGTGAGGTCGTTTGTGAAGTGCTCACTAGCAGAGTGTCAGATCAGACACGGGCATCTAATAAGCCACTGTTTGTTGCCTTCCAGGTACAGAGTATGAAACAGGCCAACAGCAGCCTCCGTCAAGCCCTCGAGGGCGGCATCGATCCACTCCGTCCCCCAGAGGTGAGGCCGTTGCTAGGGTTCCACAGACTTACGTGCAGGGGAACGGAGGCCCTGGACTTGTAGGAGGGACCGAGGGGCTGGCCCACAGAAGCGTAATCCCTGTTTGTTGGGTTTAAAAGCGGCTTCTTCCCTCCTCTCTCCAGGCGAATACCAAGTATAATTCCCGATGGACCACAGATGAGCAGCTTCTGGCTGTACAAGGTGAGCGGGGGATGCACGTGGGGGGCACGTGGGGGTGGAGGCGGGAAGGGACTGAGGTGGGCAGGTCACCGGTTGTGTCCCGAGATCTCTCCTTGCTCCGAGCCCCTCCCCGTTTCTGGATGAGACTAGAGACTCCCTCCCCAGAGGCTCTACCCTTTAGACCACTCTCCCTCCCCCTAGCCATCCGAAGGTACGGGAAGGACTTTGGTGCCATCGCGGAGGTGATCGGGAACAAGACGCTGACCCAGGTGAAGACCTTCTTTGTGAGTTACCGCCGGCGCTTCAACCTGGAGGAGGTGCTGCAGGAGTGGGAGGCTGAGCAGGACGGGGCTGCCGGGGCCCCGGCTCCCCCCGACGAGGCTCGCAAGGGGCTCCCGGCCCCCGCCGCCGCCGCCGCCAGTGAGGAGGAAGAAGAGGTGAGGATGGGGGCGGGGGCGGCGGGGGTTGGCAGCCCAGCTCTGGCCTTCACGGGGCGCGTGCCCTTGGACGAGGGGTCAGACTAGCTGCCAGCGATCTCGAAAGCCCGTGCTGCGGCCTGCATGTTTTAGAACCATGATTTCCTACCCAGGACAGGAAGCAGTTCTTGAGGGGTGGGGAAGTTTCAGTGTGAGGGCAGGACCTGGGTTCAAATCCCCACCCTTCCTCCTTGCTGCCTGTGATCTAGGCCAAGTCCCTTAAGCTCGGGCATCTCCTCAGGGCCCTAAGCAGGAGGGCTGGCCTCCGTACCTGTGCCCCTGGAATCCAGCCCTTGGGTTCTCTCCCTACAGGTCCAGATCACGGCAGTGTCGCGGGCAGTGGCGCCAGTGCAGCCAGCACCCCCTCCTCCCACCTCACTGTGTCAGCCACCTCCACTGCTTCGCCCCCCATTGCCTACAGCCCCTACCCTCCTCCGCCAGCCCCCTCCTCTACAGCAGGGCCGATTCCTCCAGCCGAGACTGGCTCCCAACCAACCACCCCCCCCTCTCATCCGTCCTGCCCTTGCAGCCTCTAGACATAGTACAAGGGGTGGCCCCCAGCCACCACCTGCTTTACTAGGGGGCCCCTCAGAGCCCCCACCCCCTTCACTCTGAGTCCTTACCCCCTATCCCCACCCTGGGCACCACCTGCTTCAGTGAGGACAGATGGAATGGGCACCTCAGCCCCCCACCCTGCAGCAGATGATCACGGGCCTGTGATGGGCACAACCTAAGACATGTGGGCTGCTGGCAGACGGGAAGTGAGGCCAGCATCTGGACACTGGCATTTGTAGGGGTTGGACAGCTGCTCCTCTCCCCCCCCCCCCCACCAAGTACCAGGAGCGGGACCTTTAGCTCAAGGCAGCCCCCTGGCCAACCCTGTGCCTGCTTTGTGGAGCTGCTCGAGCTCCAGACTGGAATGTTGCCTCTGGTTGAACGTTTCTCTGGGATTTTCCTCCCTCCTTCTCCCAGCCCTGTCTCTCCCTGGTAGTGGGTATGTTAGTGACTGTAGAGTAGAGCTAAATTAGGGCAGGCAGAAGGGCTTAGGAGAGAGGGGGGCTCCCTGCCTTACACTCTGAAGGCTTGGGAGCCACAGTGGTGGGAGGGGTAGGGAGTCATGGCAATAAGTGATGGGGTGGGGTGGGAAGAGAGCTATGTCAGGGAAGAGGGGAGGGGAGGGTGGGGGGGCACCAATGGGATGAGATTTGTCCCCCATGGGGTGTTGAGTAGAGGGGAGGGAACCCTCTTCCACCCACTGGTGGGGAGATCTAGCTCCTTGAACTCGGCAGGTGTGGCCTCCTCTGCTGGGACAGGGTAGCCGCAAGGACATGGCTTGGGCTCCAGGCCTGTTGTGTCTCTCTCCACCCAATGCTAGTGGGGGTGTGTGTGGGTGTGTGGGTGTGTGAGTGTGTGTGTGTAAAACAACTTCAGGCTGGAGAAAGAAAAGCCACCTGAATTTATTTTTTGTCAGTTTTTAAAATAAAACTTTTTTTAAAGCTCCCTGGGTGAGGCCCTCTCTTTCCCAGCCTCAGCACACCCTCCCCTGGGGGGAGGGGCCTGGTGGGACCCCTCAGTGGCAGCAGCAGCAGCTCCCCCTCCTCCACACCTGGTGGCTGCTCCAGGCCTAGCCCAGGCCAGTGAGAAGAAAGGAGAGGCAGCAGCCGTGGCCCAAGGCTCAGATTCCAAACATTCTCTTTATTACGTGTGTCTGATCCAGAGGAGAAACTAAGTACGGGAAGGGGGAGGGGGTTGAAAGGGCACTGTGAGGGGAGGCAGGGGGGAAGAGGGACCTGACCTTCTGGTCCCTGGGGCCCCCCCAGCCTCCCCCCAGAAGCTGAGCTGTTCCCCTCCTGGGTCCCACTGATCACCCCGGGGCGGGGGGGGCTACGAGGGAGGAGGGGTGGGGATGGAGGGGTAAAGCCCTTGGTCGGGAGCCGGAGCCCGAGCCCTCTTTTGGGACGGAAGGGAGTTTATCAAGACCCCCTTCCTGGAACCCAGAAGCTCTGCTCACTGCTGAGCCTCAGGCTGGGAGGTGGGAGGGATGTAGAAAGAGAAGTCATCATAAATCAAAAAAAAACAAAAACAAAAACAAAAACAAAAACAAAAACAAAATAAAATAATAATAATAAAAAATAAAACCCATCACAAGAAATGTACAACTCGGATGCGGGTGGGAGCAGCCTCTGTGCACGTCCCCTCCCTCCCCCACCTCATTTCTCAAGAACAGAAACAGCAGAGAAATAAATTAAGGGCTGCAGTGGTCACCACCAGCTGAGCGCCCCTGCCGCCCTTCCAGCCTCCAGTCTGGGGAAGGGCACGGGAACAACGTTCCCCCCAAGGGCAGCTCTGGACGTGCCACCCGCCTCAGCCCAGAACCTCAGGCACCCCACTTCTCCTGGGGAGATGGAGGCCAAGGGACAACAGTGTCATGAAGCAAAGCTAGAGACAGAAGCTTGAGGAGACAGGAGACTGAGAAAGGACAAGCAGAAAAATCCCGCTGCTCCAAACCTAGCTGGTGCCCAAATTAATGCCAATGGAGAGATGGGAGGAGGGGGAAAGATGTGCTTGCAGACAAGGGCCTCTCCCAGAAAGGAGAACACTCCATCCTCCCCAGCCCTAGGGACAAAGGGGGAGCAGCAGCAGCAGGCCCCACGACAACCCACTGCTGGCATCTCCCTCCCAGCTTGGCAGCCCCTGGACCCATGTTCCCTAGACATTTGGCGGGGGAGGGGGAAGCCCCCGGGGTCGACCGACCCTGTCATCAGCCTCTCGGGGGAGGAGAGTGTGGGGGAGAAAGGCTGCCCCCCTCCCCCCTAACAGCAGCTTGTGGAAAGTAAATGCCCAGCAAAGGGGGGTGGGGGGGACAGGGGGAAATGGCACCGAAAGAAGACCCCCCCCACCCCCTCCTCAGCCCAGAACAATCTCTTCCCTTGCCCACAGCACCAACCCCCCCCTCCCCCCAGTCTTAACTATGGGCACTCAATGCTAGGGGCCTGAGTCTAGAAAGGCAACCCCTGGTGGTTTATTTAGGAGAAGATGGAAGGCAGGGCAAAACCCCCAACTGGCCCGGTCAGGAGGACGAAGGGGCAGCGAATTCCCCCCTTCTCTCTCTGCGAAGAGGACGATCCAGCCTTGAGCGATTCCCAGGGGAGGAAACGCCATCGATCCAGTCTGCGCTGCCCCAGAAGGGCAGGGAGCTGTCCGCTGCATTTTTTTTTTTTGGTAATAAAAAAATTCTTGGTTTCGGTGAAATACTCTGTGCAACCGCAGTACCTGGGGGTACCCCGCCCCCACGCCCCCCTACATTCCTCGTTTCATGTTGGGGGGGTCGTGGAAGGGGGGAATGACCTTCCGTCCCCCACAAATGCGGAGGAAAAAACTGAAAAGGAAAGGGGGGGCAGGCCCAGCTGCAGCCCCGCCCCAGGGCGCACACGCCCTCGCTGGTCCTGGGGTGGGGGCACCGCAGCGGCTGGCGCGGCCCCCCGGCAGCCTGTTAGAGCTTAAGCTCGTTGGCAATCTTGGAGGCGATGTTCTTAAAGGCCATGGAGGTGCCCGATATCCGCTTGAAGCGCACGCCATTGAGGGAGAGGCGCGGCAGCTTGCACACTTCCATCTCCCACTGCACGAAGGTCTCGTGGCCCGGGGTCCCGTGCATGCACAGGAGCATGAACTTCTCCTGCAGCTCACATTGGCAGTTGTTAGCGTCCAGCACCTTCCGGATCTCCCGCATCATCTCGTTGGGCTCCATGGAGCTGGTCGTCTTCATGCTCCAGGTGAAGCGCAGAGAGCGCGGCTTGGCCTCGCGGTTCTCATCTTTGTCCTTGTCGCTGCCCCCGCCGCCCACCATGTGAGGTCTGCAGGGGCGAGAGGCGGAGGGGGTTAGGCCCGGGCACCTCAGAGGAGAATGCTCCTCGGAGCGTGAGGCAGGCACGGGGGAGGGGGGGGGAGAGGCAAGGAGGAAGGGAGGGTGGAGAAGGGAGGGCAGCTCCGAAACCTGCAGGGCCGGTCCCTCCTCCCCAATCTGGGCAGGCCCGCCAGTTCTCAAGGCACAAAAGCCTGGCCAGGCTGGAGGAGAGCCACGTTTCTATGAAAAGACCGGGAGCCACGGGGGCTGCTATTAGCCTCTCTGAACACAAAGGGGCAGCTCCCACCGGTTCAGAGAGTTTCTCACTTGGGAGGGTACCGAGGCACACAGAGACAGGCCCGTGAGCGGTAGCCCTGGTTCTGGAAGAGCCAGGCGAGGGCCCAGGGGCTGCAGCCGGGGCAGGGAAAGGGCAGAATAGGCGCCGTCGGGGAGGAGACACAGAAGGAACCAAGCGGTGGAAGGAGGAGAAGAGCAGGAGGAGGTCAGACGTCCCGAGGGGCTTGGCCCTCGGACCAGCTGCTGGCTCACAGCTCTCTCTCTCACCTGAGGGTTTCCACTCGGTCTTTGCTTTCGGGCTCATTCGGGTTCCTCAAAAAACAGAGCGAGGCAGAGTTTAGTTCGGGGCCTTCGGCCGCCGCCAGACCCAAGGTAGGGGGAGACAAGGGGGAGGCTGGACGCCGGCATGCCGGGGGACCCTGCCCCAAGCACAGGGCTCGGCCTCGAGGTCTTTGCTTGACCCCCAACAAGGCTTTTTCAACATGAATCAGAAGGAACTGTCTCTAACTTGAAGGGGCTACTTTCCCCCAGTTCCCGCGCCCCGCAGCTATCCCAGGAGCTGGAGGTGTGAAGAGACAGGGCCTGTCTATGTGTCCACACTGAGCCCCAGCCAGGGACAGAGGCTCCTGTCACGGCTGCCCACCCCCTTCCTGCCCCTCAGCTCCCTATCTCCTAGGCCCAGCAGACACCCAGGCCGCAGACATAGAGAGCTATCTGTCTGCCGAGGATCTGTCAGGGCTTCTTCCAAGAAAGACCAAGAAAAGCGACAGCAGAGAGGGAGGGAGAGCAGGCGGTTTCTACTATTTGGAGTGAGGAGGGGAGACCTGGAGCTGCCTGACTGGGGCCCGAGTGAATGTCAGTTGGCAGGGAGGATAGCGGTGATGGGAGGAAAGGACGAGGAAGCAGACACCGACCATGGCTCCCTGGGATCCCTGGGGGGAACAATCCCCATAATCCTCCCTCCCTGCCAGCCAGACCGAAAGGCCATCTGCCGAGGCGGTCTGCCGAGGCATCCCTGGGGTGCCCACGCCCTTCAGGTGCTTCTGGCCCCGCTGAGCGGCTTCTCTGGGGTGGGGACGGGGGGGGGCAAGAACAGGGCAGAGAGAGGGAGAGGCATGTGGGGGAGCACAAAGACCCACAGACACATAACAAGTAGCACACGAGAACACACCAAGAAGTGACGGAGCAAAGACAACAGGAGCACATTTGCCTGGGCCATCTGCAGGGAGGGTGAAAGGAAGGAGTCCTCACACTGGGAAGGAAAGCCACGGCTTTCTTTTCCCCAGGGCCTGGACTAATCAGAGGGCCCAGTTCCAAAGGCTGGGGGGACACATCTGAGCGTCCCTGGAAGCCTGGAGCCTCCTGAAATCTCAGGGGCACCTGCCAGGCCAGCTCATGGACCAGGGTCAGGGAGGGGTCTCTCCAGAGAGGCGGACACAGGAGGTGGACAGGGGGAAAACTCAGGCTTTCCAGCCTCCTCCCCATGACCTCTGTGCCCTCTTCCCTACACCACCTCCTGGTGTCGTGCAGGCTCTCAGAAGCTATCCAGGTGGAAGGAAACTAGAGAAATGATGTCTGAGAGTCTCCCCCAGGCCCAGGCCAGGCACGGAGGTCAGCTGTAAGGAGAGAAGGGCGAGCCGCACTTGGGCTGCTGACGCCAGCGGCCTACCAGAAGAGGGCGCTGTTGCTCCCCATACCTATCCCTCTGACCGCGCGGCATCCCCATCACCCAAAGGGGTAGGGGACCCTGGGAAGGGGGTAGGGAGGAGGTTGGCAGCACAGCCCTTTCCAGGACACAAGAGAGTGGAGGAGGGCAAAGACCAGAAGGAAAGCGGATCAGAGATGAACGGCGAAGAGCCTTCAGCCTCCTTGTCTCTGCATGCACACAGGGTCGGGAGAGAAGATA